ACGATCAGGAGTGATCATTTCGGACTGGTGCTTTTGGGAGTTTTATTTATTTATATTTTCAGACTTATTTTTATCGTTATTTTGAGATTTATTATGTTATTTGGATTTGTGGAGTTTGGAGATGATTTATGCGATTTAATAAATGGAGATTTCAGACATTTTTATTTATTTTATTATTTTGGAAAATGCGGGTGTTACATTTCCACTATTAATTTATGCATTTTCTTATTAATTCAAGTCAAAGCACAATAAAAATTCAAGGAAATCTTAATCTAGTTAGCTTCTGTTTCTAACTTTCTGACAAAGATACATTAAAAATATCAGTGGAAACTAGTGACTTGGCCTCCAAGCCAAATATCACAAAATTCCAAAATTAAAAAAGTTACGTTTCCAATTAACCCGAGATTATATTACTCTTTTAGTACACATCAATAGATTCATTACCATACAAACATATGGTAAGTGACAATCCTCGTGACTCTACTCTCACAAAAAAAAAGGCCCCACCTCATAGCGCGTGTAATTATTCGTACACCAGAGTGCGCGTGGAAAGAATTAACAAGCTTGGAGACCAAGCTATTAGAACAGGACAGAAAGCTCTACTTTCGGTACGGTAAATAAACACGTGTAAGAAATCTAACGTCTCAATCTAAGATGCGGAAAGCCGTTCTGAATCCCCATTGGTTCCCCTCATACTTAATCTCGCTAATATTCATATTAACCGGTTTAAACGCGCATTAATATCTCCTTACTGTTTGACAAAAAATTAAATATTTTACGTTAAATAAAATTGGTATATTTAAAGAAGAGGATGTTCCTAAGAAACGGCGATTCTTGACTCTTCTCTTTCTCTCTCTGTAACCAAACCAGAGATGGAGAGACGAACGAGAAGAGTAAAGTTCACAGAGCATCACAAAGTGACACCTGTCCCTTCCAAGCCATCTAACGGCTCTCCGAAGGTGGTTAGAATCGCTTATACTGATCCCTACGCTACTGACTCCTCTAGCGACGATGAAGACGAAAACAACAACGTTACGAGAGTGAAGCGCCACGTGGAGGAGATTAGATTCGTCGAAACCAAATCGAGGAAAGCTAGAAACGATGACGTGGCAGAGAATACTGTAAAGTACAGAGGCGTGAGGCGGAGACGGTGGGGGAAATTCGCGGCGGAGATCAGAGATCCGTCGACTCGGTCTCGGATTTGGTTAGGGACTTTCGTCACGGCGGAGGAAGCCGCCATGGTTTACGATCGCGCCGCGATTCGTCTCAGAGGTCACAACGCTCAGACGAATATTCTACCTCCTCCGCCGCCGCCGCCGTCTCCTCCGTCGTCGCCGATTATCGATTTGGAAACGGTTTACGGATGCGATTCGGCGAGCCGGAGTCTCCGGTCTCCGACGTCTGTTCTCCGGTTCAACGGCAACGAGATCGAGCCGGCGACGAGCGTGTTTCCGGATCCGTATTCGTTGCCGGAGTTGTGTCTCGCCGGGGAGCGTTTCTGGGAGTCGGAGACTCCTCCGGAGCCTTTGTTTTTGGATGAAATCGAAATTGGTAAACCGGTGGTAAACCAGGTTGTTGTTATACCGAAGGAAGAGAACGAACCGGAGGATTTCTCGTTCGATTTAATCGAAGATTTCGATGCGTCTCCATGGGTAGACGATTTCTTCGAGAATGATTAATTTTTAAAAAAAGGATGATGACGTGGATGCAACTCGACCATAAGCCATTCAGTGACGTGGACGGTTCTGATCGGCTGGATTTTGTGGGTAAATATGAGTAGTAGGAGTAATGGTTAAAATGAAAATGTCAATGTTTATAAAGTTTATTAGCTAATTTAGTAAAGTTTATTAGCTAATTTAGTAATTTGATTCCTTTTTTGTTTGTTTGAGAATGTACCAGCATGAGGAAGCAGCAGTATATACCAAAGTGTTTATATTGTCCATATTAGTAATATTTCTATTAAATGTTGTTATGATCTTTAAAAAAAAAATTGAAGTCAATACTCTATGTAGAACAAAAAAAAAAAAATAGTTACATGATTAGCTGATCCGGTAATAAATTCCAGATTTTTTTCTCATTAAAACATGAGTGTTTGGTTTAGTTTCGGTATATAAATGTATAATGTGATTATATATTTTTTAATCAAAAAGAAATAGTCAAACTTTTACTATATATTATTATTTATTGGAAATTTGTTTTTTGTATGGGTTAATCCACATTTCAAAATAGATTATAAATAATTGTATTTTTTTTTGAATGCATACCTATATAATGTACTGACATAGTATGTAGAGTAAAGAGGTTCGATATTTTTAGGTGTTTTTATTTCTCAACAAAATAAAATTTTTATAAGATGGTATATGAAATTTAAATAAAATAGTATCAGAAAATTATAATTTTTTTTTTGGAAAATTAGAAATGGTGCTCATATTTCATGAAAATAAGTTTAGCATATATATATATATATAAATAAATTTGGAGTGGTTAGATATTTTTAAAACACTAAAAATGCTAAGTAATATAAATAATAAATATAGGAAAATTCACTCGTTTCATAAGGATTAATCCACATTTCAAGATAAAATTAAAAAATACTTTAAACAACACTAAAAATGCTAAATAGTATAAAAATTATTTATTAAAAAATTAATCTTTTCGTAGAGTTAACCCACATATTTCAAAATAAATTAAAACATATGGTATGTCTATTTTAATGCATAGCTACATCATACACTGATATAATATGAAGATTAAAGAGGTTTAGAACCTTGTGTGTTCCCGTTTCTTTAGAAAATAAAGATTTTATAGGGGTTAGTCCACTAATTAGATTGTAAAGTTTAAATAAATTATTAGTTGAAAATTAGAAATAATGCCCATGTAGCATGAAAATATGTTTCGCATACATTAATATAAATTCAGAATGTGGATAAGTATTTTTAAAACAACATTAATGAGGTTAAGCTTTAGTATATATAACATTTACTGGAAAAACTCAATATTTTCGTAAGATAAATTAGAAAATATGACATTATGTTTTAGTCACATAAATTCATCATGCGCTAACATGTGATGAGGAATAAAGAGGGATGTGAGCTTAATTATCACTGTTTTTCCAGAAAATATAGATTTTGTAGGGATAATCCATTGAATTAGATGGAATATAATTTTTTATTAAATTACTCACTGAAGTTTACCATGAAAATAAGTATCAACTACATTAATATAAATTTATAATGTGATTAGATTTTTAAATCAACAAGAAAGAGCATAACCTTAATATATAGTATTTATCGGAAAAATAGATTTTTTTGTAGGGGTTAACCCACGTATTTTTTGTAGGGATTAACTCACATATTTCAAGATAAATTTGAAAATATGATATTTTTGTCTAAGCTTAGCTGCATCAGGCACTGACATAGTATGGAGATTAAAGAGGTTTGATACCTAAGGTGTTTCCGTTTCTCAAGAAAATAGAGATTTTATACGGGTTAGTCCACTAATTATGTCGTATATGAAGTTTAAATAAATTACTCGTTGAAAAATTAGAAATGATGTTCATGTACCATGAAAATATGCTTAGCATACATTAATATAAATTTAGGGTGTGGTTAGGTATTTTAAAAGCAATATTAATGACACTAGTGGTACATATAACATTTATTGAAAAATACTCTATCTTTTGGTAAGATAAATTAGAAAATATGATTTTCTGTTTTACTGCATAACTTCATCATGCACTGACATGTGATGAAGATTAAAGAGGGTTGAGAGCTTATTTCTCCCACTTTCTCAAAAAATACAGATTTTAAAGGGGTTAGGCAACTAAATTAGGTGGAATATGAAGTTTTATTAAAATACACATTAAAATGTTAGAAACGACGGCCATGTACCATGAAAATAAGTTTAACATACATTAATATAGTATAATGTGATAAGAAAGTTTTTAATCAACAAGAAATAACTTAACCTTTTGTATATAATATTTAATGGAAAACTCAATCTTTTTGTAGGAGTTAACCCACAAATTTCAAGTTAAATTAGAAAATTTGTATTTCTCTTTGAATGTATATATGCATCCAGCACATGTATAGGATGAATATCAAAAATGTCTAATACTTTTGTTGTTCCAATTTCTCTAGAATATAGAGATTTCATAGAGTTTAGTTCATTGATTTATGTGGTTTATGAGTTTTATTAAATTACTCGTTGAAAAATTATAACTGATACCCATGTATCAGAAAATTTTTTAGCATACATTAGTACAAAATTTTAATTTGGATAAATACACTAAAGAGTTTAAACATAAGTACAAATAACATTTATCAGAAAAATTTGATATTTTCGTATGGATTAACCCACAAATTTCAAGATAAATTAGAAAAATATGAAAATTTCGTATTTATGCATAGATACATTCAGAACGGATATATGATGAATATCAAAGAGTTTTGATATCTTAATTGTCCAATATTGTTTCTAGAAAATAGAGATTTCATACGATTTAGATTATCGATTTTGGTGGTATATGGAATTTTATTAAATTCTTCTCTTGAAAATTAGAATTAATGTCCATTTACCATGAACATAAGTTTAGTACATTAATATAAATTTTAAACGTGGTTAGACATTTAAAAAAAAACTAAATAGGCTAAACTTCAATATATATAAAATTTTATCGGAAAATTCAATTTTTTGAAGTGGTTAACCACATATTTCAAAATATATTAGAAATATGGTATTTTTGTTTTATAGCATAGCTTCATCATGCACATACATAGTATGGAGATTAAAGGGGTTTGAGACCTAATGTGTTTCTGTTTCTCTAGAAAATAGAGATTTTATAGGGGTTAGTCACTAATTACGTAGTATATAAAGGTAAAATAAATTACTCATTGAAAAATTAGAAATGATGTTCATGTACCATGAAAATATGTTTAGAATACATTAATATACATTAAGAGTGTTGTTAGGTATTTTTAAAACAACATTAATGAGGCTATTAGTAAATAGAGCATTTATTAGAAAAAAACTTAATCTTTTGGTAAAATAAATTAAAATAAGTTTTTGTTTTAATGTATAACTTCATCATACACTGACATGTGATGTTAGGAGCCTATTTGTACCCTTTTCTCCCAAAATAAATAAATTATATGGGTTATTCCACTAAGTTAGATGGAATATGAAGTTTTATTAAGATACTCACTAAAATATTAGAAACGACGTCCATGTAATATGAAAATAAGTTCAACATACATTAATATGAATTTATAATGCGATTAGGAAGTTTTTAAGCAACAAGAAAAAGCATAACCTTTTGTATATAATATTTAACGGAAAACTCGATCTTTTTGTAGGGGTTAACCCACATATTTGAAAATATTACAGTGGTTAGTCCACTGAATTAGTTGAATAAGAGGTTTGAGACCTTATGTGTTCATGTTTCTCGAGAAAATAGAATTTCTTTTATAGGGGATTTGTCCACTGATTAAGTGGTATATGAAATATAAATAAGTTACCTGTTGGAAAAATTGAAATGATGTCCATCTACCATGAAAATAATTTTAACATACATTAATACAAATTTAGAATGTGATTGGGTACTTTTAATCAACAATAAAGAGCCTAAACGTATTAATATAGCTTATCAAAAAATAGATTTTCTGTAGGGGTTAACCCATATATTTTGAGAAAAATTAGAAAATAGGAAAATTTTGTTTTAATTCATATTTGCATCATTCACTGACATAGTATGAAGATTAAAGAGGTTTGAGACCTTAGGTGTTCATGTTTCTCGAGAAAATAGAATTTCTTTTATAGGGGCTTTGTCCACTGATTAAGTGGTATTTGACATTTAATAAATTACCTGTTGGAAAAATTGAAATGATGTCCATGTACCATGAAAATAATTTTAACATACATTCATACAAATTTAGAATGTGATTGAGTAATTTTAATCAACAATAAAGAGCCTAAACTTCTTAATATAGCATTTATCGAAAAACCTAACTTTTCTGTAGGGGTTAACCCACATATTTCGAGAAAAAATAGAAAATATGAAAATTTTGTTTTAATGCATATTTACATCATTCACTGACATAGTATGAAGGTTAAATAGGTTTGATACCTTAGATGTTCATGTTTCTCGAGAAATTAGAATTTCTTTTATAGGGACTTTATCCATTGATTAAGTGGTATATGAAATTTAAATAAATTACCTGTTGGAAAATTTGAAATGATGTCCATGTACCATGAAAATAATTTTAACATACATTAGTACAAATTTAGAATGTGATTAGGTAATTTTAATCAACAATAAAGAGTCTAATCTTCTTAATATAGCATTTATCAAAAAAACTAGATTTTCTGTAGAAATTAACGCACATATTTCGAGAAATATTAGAAAATATAATTTTTTGTTTTAATGCATATTTGCATCATTCACTGACATAATATGAAGGTTAAATAGGTTTGAGACCGTAGATGTTCATGTTTTTCCAGAAATTCGAATTTCTTTTATAGGGGCTTTGTCCATTGATTAAGTGGTATATGAAATATAAATAAATTACCTGCTGGAAAATTTGAAATGATGTCCATGTATCATGAAAATAATTTTAACATACATTAATACAAATTTAGAATGTAATTGGGTAATTTTAATCAACAATAAAGAGCCTAAACTTCTTAATATAGCATTTATAGAAAAAAACTAGATTTCCTGTAGGGGTTAACCCACATATATCGAGAAAAATTAGAAAATATGAAAATTTTGTTTTAATGCATATCTGCATCATTCACTAACATAATATGAAGGTTAAAGAGGTTTGAGACCTTAGGTGTTCATGTTTCTCTAGAAAATAGAATTTCTTTTATAGGGGCTTTGTCCACTGATTAAGTAGTATATGAAATATAAATAAGTAACCTGTTGGAAAAATTGAAATGATGTCCATCTACCATGAAAATAATTTTAGCATAAATTAATAGAAAGTTTGAATGTGATTGGGTAATTT